GCCTTGCTGCTGCCTCTCTACAACCCCAGTGAGAGACTTGTCGTGCCCCTCGCTTAGGAGCACTGAGGCAAAGAACTCGTTGAGGAGTTCAGCCTTGTCCCCCCTGTCCGTCACCAATTGTTTCTGCCCATTTAGTAGGGGTCCTATTCCTCCCTGGGCCTTCCTTTTACTCCCAATATATCTAAAAACCAATTTCTTGTTGTCCTTTACTTGGGATGCCATCCTCAGCTCCATGGCAGCTTTGGCCCGTCTAACTGCCTCCCTACAAGCGCGAGCAGAGGAGGTATATTTGTCTTTGGTGATCTCTCCCTGAAAAAGGACTTTTTGTTGTCCTTAATCCTGGACGCTCGCCTGAGCTCCATCTCTGCCTTGGCCTTCCTAATAGCCCCGCTACACTCCCGGGGCGAGGAGGAATACTCCTCCTTGGTGATAGCCTCTCCCTTCCACTGGTTGTACGCCCCCCCTTAGTCCTCAGGCATTGCTGAATGCCCTTGCTGAGCCAAGGGGGTTTCTGAGCACTCTTACCCCCCTTGCTTCTCTCAGGGACTGTCCTCCTTTAGGCCTGGAGGATCGCCCCCTTAAGGTACAACCATCCCTCATGGACTCCCATCTCCTCTAACTTCTGGGCCCTTAGTGCCTCCCCCGCTAGTCTCCTAAGCTCATTGAAGTTGACCCTTCTGAAGTCAAGGGCTTTAGCCTTGGTGTGAGCCCTTGATACCCTGCGTTGGATAATGAAATCCAGCAGGTGATGATCGCTATTGCCCAGGTGGTCAAGGACCTGCAGTCCCCTCACCAGGTCATCCCCCATGGCCAGGACCAGGTCCAGCAAGGCATTACCCCTAGTGTCTGACCCGGTGTGAACCTGGCTGAGCTCTCAGCTCCCACCACAGCTGCGGGCCACGAGCTCCCCCTTTCATGCTGCGCTGGGGGAAACAGCACATCTTGGCATTCGTTTTAAACAGTAATAAATCCCAAGTGACTTTCTCTTCTCCACTAAGTATTTTGGAAACCTCCTCCTGTCCCCGCTCCAGCATCTCTTGTCTAAGCTGACCAGGCCTGGCCCCCTCAGTCTCTCCGCATTGGGAAGCCCCTTGATAGCACTCATCACCCCTGTTGCCCTTCTCTGCACCTTCTCCAGCTCCTCTAGATCCTTTTGGAGCTGCAGGGACCAGAACAGGGCACCGGGTTCAAGGTGTGGATGCACTATGGATGTATAAAGGGGCATTGTGACACTTTCTGTTTGATCTACGATTCCCATCTCTAATAATCCCTAGCATGTTTGCCTTTTTGGTGGCTGCTGAGCCCTGAGCTGATGTTTTTAGTGACCTGTCCACAGTGACCCCCAGATCTTTCCTGTGTGGTAGAGAGCACCTTGTAATCTGAGCCTCACTAGGAGTAAGACTTTCAGCTCTGGAGGAGCAGCAAGCTTAGTCGGGATTAAGTGCGTGTGCCCACAGGGTTTTGAGGAACACCCTCGTAGCTCGGCAAGTCCTTGCCCAGCCTTGTGCAGCCTCCTACCACTGCACAGGAGTAACGGGGCTGTCACCCCTTCAGTTTTTCCCTGCCACCACAGCGCGTCAGTCCGTAGCTCCCAGCCAGCAGAGCTTTGGCCTGTTCTCTCCAGTTGCATAGTTCAGCATCACCAGTTCATCTAGCACGTGCCAGGCTGATGGTCGTGGCTCACTCCATCTCTGTTCTTCTCTCTGCAGAGCACCTGGCATTCCCGTGAAGGACCGGGTGAAGGTCTCTCAGAACTGGAAGCACGGCCGCTGTCGCAGGGAGACGCTGCTGAAATGGAAACGCAAGCAAGTGGCCCCTTTCTCCCCCCCTTGCTCCTGCGCCCGCGGGTGGGGGTAGTGGGGTTGCTGCTGGACCCTGACACCAGCTGTCCCACGGATCTGTAGGGCCTGGCCAGTGAGGCTGACCAGTCGTCCCTGTCTCTGCTGCTCCTGGCCAGCCGGGGTGAGGTAGTGCCCGCTCAGTGTCTAACCCAGATACCAGATGTCAGCTCTCTGCAAGGAGCTGCTCCGATTCTTGCCTGGGGATTCCTCCTTTCGGATTCCCCGTGCTGCCCTGGGTGGATGCAGCAGTCACTTGGGGCCCCAAACTTTGGGCAGTTTGCTTTCCAAGCCTTTCTGCTTCTCTGCTCATCCACGCTGCCCAGCTTCTGACCTGGGCTCTGCCTTGCTGTCTTGATCCAGTGTGCATTTCCCTCCTCCTTCCTGTCCCTCCGCCGGGCTCTCTTCTTTTATCTGCCTCTTGTCATGCATCCCTCCCACCCCCCACGCACACCTGGCCTGTGTCCATGAATCCTAACATATTTCAGACTGGGGAGGGAGGCTCAGGAAGGGATTCACCAGGTGCACATGCCATGTTGACGAGCTGCGATTGTGGTGCTTAACTCCCTGCGTGCCATGCCGTGTGCTGCAGGTTTGCAAAGTAGATAGTGAGGCCAGGGACTCGTGCATTGTTGAACTGAAGCTGTTGCAGCAGCCGGGCAAGGACATTTGAGGGGGGCTCCTTTACAGCAGGGGCCTGTCTGTAGCTCTCACTGGCCCATGGTGCTGTGTTCAAGATGGCAAGATCCACCCCAGGGACAGCTCTAAGGCAGTCAGGGCTCATTTGCTCCCTGTATGTGGCCCTCACACCTGCTGGTGAAACTCTTGCTTTGCCAGGGGCCCGAACGGCTCTGGAAATGTGAGACACCCCTGAAAAGCTGGAAGTGCTTTTCCCACGCAGAAGTGCAGGCTCTAATGCCGCCACAATTCAAACCACTGCCTCCTAGCCCGGATTTCCAATTCTTACTTTTCCTTCTGGGCAAAGCAATGTGAAGAGGTGAGATGCTAAATGGCAGCAGAAGGAAAAGCGCTCCGGCAGCCAGCACGGGGAAGCTGGAGATTCGCTTGCTCTCAGGGAGCTGCGTGGGAGTGGAGGAAGGAAGGGGAAATCAAAGCCCACCTCCAAACCCAGGCTGCTGCTGCAGAGATGCTTGGGTCAGACGTGCTAGAGGCCAACATGGGAACCCCTGCAATGAAAGCCAGTCAGGAGCCTCCAGGCTTTTGCTGAGAAGCCCAATTCCACTTAGCTTCTGTGTAGATACTGGAGCTCACCCACAGCAGCCAGACGGCCTGGAGACTCTTGCAGGGCCTATGTGCTGTAGGGCCTGGGCAGCCTTTGGGCTTCCTCTTGCTGTCCCCAGAAGGCCTGTTAGTACCATTGAAGCCAGTGAGCACTGCAGATTGAGTGCCTGATGTTGCCCACGCCTGTTCCCATCTCTAGGGCCTGTTCTAGTGTCAGCTCCATGTAACAGGAGCAGAGCGCTCAGGGGACTCTTCTGTTTCAGCGTCTGTCACCAGAGTGCTGCAGAGCAGCTCTGCTCATGTTCGGGATGGTGTCGTGCCAGTGCTGGGAGCTTGCAAGTGTTCTGGCCGGTGGGCCACACATTAGCCCTGCACCCTCCTCGAGTGCCACTCGGAACCCCTTGCCCTGCCCAGTCTGCTGCTCTGCTTTCTGCTCCCTGCATTGTGCTTCCGGCCCCCTCTGCTCTTCTGCTTTCTGCTCCCTGCCCTGTGTTCCTCAACTAATCTGCTGCTCTGCTTTCTGCTCCGTGTCCTATCTGCTGCTCTGTGCTGCCCGTTCCCTCCCCAGTCTGTCATGTACCACACACACAATCTTCTGCACCATGGGGAACCTAGGAGCCACAGGTTGGCCACCCCGACTTCGGGTGTGACTACCCCGTGCTGGCGGCACGACTTAATGAGGATACTCCCAGGCCTGCCCTGCTTGTGGGTCCTGGTGTTTTCTGGGTTGGAGTAGGGACATCCCACCTGGGACATGTTGCTGCTGCAGTGGAGAGCCCTAGAGGCGCGGGGCTGGAAGGTTCCTCTGGAGGCCATCCAGTTCAACCCTGTCTGTAGGCAGATGCCCAGAGTCCCTGCAGAGAGCTGCAGCTCACACCTGTGCTGACACATGGTATTTCATACCCACGCCTCTAAATCCCTTAGTCACGCTTCCCCACTTGTCTCCTTCCTGAAGGCCTGGCTGGAAATGTGCCCCCAGCGTGCACTGCCTCTGAGAGGGAAGCCTGGCTTCCCCGCGCATGCTGCTGTACGAAGCACTGCTCCTCCACCTCCAGGACACTGTCAGCTCCCCCCTTGCCCAGCGCTGACACATGTTGCTGTCTCAGTGTCCAACCTGTGCTTTTTCATTTGTTCTGCAGCTTGATGCCCTGGATGCAGCTGGATGGCGAGTGTCTGTACCTGTCCCAGGCGGAGGACATCAGGGCCTACCGGCTTCGCCCCGACAGGGCAGGCATACAGCGCCACCCCCACGCCATCTTCTCCGGCCACCAGGAGGATGTGTGCCGTTTTGTTCTTGCCGACTCGCACATTGTCAGCGGAGGCGGGTATGTTGGGGTGGAGGCACGGTGTGGGTGGCCAGTTGTGGGTGGCCCAACTTCCTCCTTGCTTTGTACAAACCCGCTCCGGAGGTCAATTTTGTTCCATCATGTTTAACCTGTTGGGGCTCCTGGGGGTGTCTTAAACGTCTCTGAGTGCTCCTGTGACCTCAGGTTCAGGGCTTTCGTTCTGCTTCATCCATCTTTCTTCCTAGAGCGGTGACTGTGTAGACAGCGCACCTAGGCTGCATTCGAGGCCTGGTAGCTACAGCTGTGCATGCAGGAGACTGGTTTTATCCAGGTGGAAACAGCTTGGTTATCAGATCCTCAGCTTTTCTACCAAAGATACTGCAGCATCATGAGTACTGGATCCTCCTTCCCCGAGTGCATAGGGACACACTCAGAGGCTGAAACCCAAGCTGGGATGTTTTGGAACAACAGAGATGCATTGTAGTGTCTACAGCTTCTGGCAGAGTAGGGTAGGAAAGAGTTTCCAGAGAGCAGTGATGATCAAGCCTCTGGATTCAGTCTTGCTCCGGTGCTGGAGAGCTGCTGCAGATCTTGCAGGGATCTTGCTGCAGATCTTGCTGCTGCAGATCTTGTTACTCCACACCCTTGGATTTGGGAACCAGGGGGTTGAGAGAGAGAAGGCTGGAAAGACAGGAATTTTTTCTCCACTAACGTAGTTCAGTAGTCCAGTAGGTTTTTACGTTTTTTTAATCCAACAACCCTTTGTTTCCAAGCTGTTTTATACCTTTTTTTCTTGGCATATATATTGTTTTGGCTATTACTGACTACTTATGTAATTGAGTTTTTACTATTTTTTTTAATACCTTTATATACCTAAACACACCCCATCCCATACACACCTGTAGATCTTTTTTATTACATACATACCCTTCTTATTGCACATTCTTTCTCTTTCTTCATTTTTTCTCCCCACTATGACTAACAGTGCTGAGGCTTTGACAAAATTTGTAGCTGCTTGCTCAGCTTCAACCAGACAGTGACCTTGCAACACCTCACACAAGGGGTCAGGGAAAGATTTGCATCTTCCCTACCTCCTTGTGTAGCAGTGGGTTGGGATTCCAGTGTATTCAAAAGCACTAGTGAAAGTGGCTGTGTAGCACGGTCCTTGGGACACAGGAAGGTCACAGTGGTTCACAGGTGCTGCCACGGGTGGAAATGTGGGGGGAGAATTGGGCAGAACTGGGCCCTACTGAGCAAATGGTGTGGTGGGAGGGACTGCAGTGCCTGTGCAGTGCTATCAAACCCTTTGCCTTCCCTGCCAAGCACTCACTGCCCCCCTTGCCTGCTCGGGGCTTGTTTTACAGGGATGGCAATATCATCCTCCATGAGATGCACGGCTCCTACAGCGTCAAGTTCTCGGCACATGAGCAGGAGGTGAACTGCGTGGATTTCCGAGGGGGCATCATTGTGAGCGGGTCACGGGACAGGTCAGCCAAGGTGAGAAGGGCTCAGGTTGGCAGCTTCTGGTGCCCCTTGCAAAGAGCTGGACCATGAGGCAGATGGGATGTGTGACTAGAGCTAAACCTTCACCCTTGCACTCCTCTGTGTGTGGAACGAACTACACCTGGAGGGGCAGGCTCTGGAGAGCCTCTTGCTATTGTCTCACCAGGGAAGAGGTCCACAGTGAGTGGGGAAGTTCGCCACTGGTCTGAGAGGTGAGGGGAGGGGAAAAAGACTGAGGGGGGATTTGATAGCTTTCAACTCCCTGCAGGGGGGCTGCAAAGAGGATGGAGCTGGACTGTTCTCAGTGGGGGCAGATACAGAACAAGGAGCAATGGGCTCTAGTTGCAGCAAGGGAAGTTTAGGTTAGATATTAGGAAAAACTTTCTTGTGAGGAAGATAGTAAAGCACTGGAACAGGTTACCCACGGGGGTGGTAGACTATCTGTCTCAGAGGTTTTGAAGACCTGGCTAGACAAAGCGCTGGCTGGGGTGATCTAGTTGGGGCTGGTCCTGCTTTGAGCAGGCGGTTGAACTACATGTGACCTCCTGAGGGCCCTTCCAGCCCTCGTTTTCTATGATTTGATGATTCTGTGAAAATCAGTGGGGCTGGTTCTCCTTGGAGATCATAGGAGAGTTGGGCTGGAAGGGACCTCTTGAGGTCACAGCTAGTCCAGCCCCCTGCTCCAGGCAGGACCAGCCCTTTCTAAACCATCCCAGCCACGTGTCTGTCCAACCTTCTCTGGAAAACTTCCAAGAATGGGGAGTCCACAATTTCTGTAGGTGCCTGTTCCAGTGCTTGACTGCCTGCATCGTCAGGAAGTTCCTCCTAAGTTTACCTGAGGTCCTGGGGTCTGGCTTTGTCCCTAAAATGCTACTGGAACAGCCTTTTCCCTTTCATGCAGGTCTCTTAAACATCCCAAACAGGAGATGGGGGGTCTAAGTCTGGTTTGCTCTTCCTTACTTAGGTAGTGCAAGAGTGATGTTGTAGCTGTGATGGTCCCAAAATTATGAGAGAGAGACAAGGATTTCTTTGGGTGATCTCTTGTATTGGATCAACTATATAGCTGAGTTTGAGGTAGACAAGCTTTCAAATGCAAGACATTCTTCTTCAGGCTTGACATGCATTCAAAAGCTTGTCTAACTCGATCACAGAAAAAATTCCTTTTTTTGTATAAACCCCGCTGTCTCCAACTTGCTGAGGTGAGGACTGACTTGCTTCTCACGCGCACCCGTTGTGCTCATGGATAATTCTCCAAAGCTCTGACCACTCTCATCTCACGTGTCCTGAGTAACAGCTCCTGCCACTGTCCTTGAGAAACTGTTCCACCCTCTGATAAGTCTTGTTGCCCCGGAGTCTCCGTAATACATTGGTGCTCTTCCCATCACAGTGCACCATAGAGAAAAGCTATTAAAAGGGTATGTTTCATGATGGAGCAACCTAGTTGATTGTGCCTTCAACTGGCCCATCCTGGAACCACGAGCATCTTACAAATCTCAAACGCATCGTTCATTCGAGGTAGGGGAGACTCCATCCATAAGGAGCACTGGACGGGTGAAGCAGTGTTTCACCTACAGAAGTGTGCCAAGGGAAAATCCGTCCAGCTCTCTCCTAGGGTTTGGGAGTTTCTTCTCTAGGTTAGGAGAGGCCTGCCAGTGAAAACACAAACCAAATGAGTCCCGTGCCAGTGCTAATCATATGCCAGGGCCTCAGCTTCTTCTAGCTCCTTTGAGCAGAGTTCTGCTTTTAGCACTGGAGGAGCATGAAGGGGCACTGCCCAGTCACTGGCCACACCAGCCTGGACAGTATAGCCCAGTGGTTAGGATGATATTGGCTCCAGTGCAGGTTTCTGACGTGATCCAGGAAAAGCCGCAGTCTCTCTGTGCCCCAGCAGGTAACAGCGCTGCCCTCCTGTCATACTGGGGGCTGTACCATCCCTCTGTGCTGCTACCAGGTGAAATGTAGGACAGGCCTACTACTCCTCTCTGCTAGCCTCCCCTGACCTGGAGAAGAAACTCCTGAACTATGGGGGAGTTGGATGGACTTCTCCTCTTCAGCTGAAATGCAGCTTTGCCCGTCCAGCGCTCCCTGATGGACAGAGTTGGGTCTATTTTCACTGCAGGGCTGGTGTGTGGGAGGGCAGAGGGGGCAGCGTGTCCTAGGGAGCTCTAAGTGCAGTGGCTGTATTGAGGGCTCTGCTGAGTGTTGATTAGCACTAATCTCTGAATAGCTGCTAATGTACATTCCTTACTGATAGGCACCAGATAGCTGCTCCCAGCCATATTTTTAACCTGCAGGAGATAGGGGATGCCTCCAGAGTTAAGCTTTTCTGCTGCTTTTGCTGACACTAGGTGTTAAATTCCCCGCGGACCAGAATAGCCTGCAATCCCGGCATTATCAACAAACAAACAAATAGGCCCTCCCGGCTTTGAAGTCTTGAAGTAAAAGACTGGAGCTGGGCTGAGTAAGGGAGAGGCAAAGTCTTGGGAACTGGAGAGGAGGGAATGGGGGGTATTGCAGCAGTGCAGGGTGTGCTTGGAGCCCAGCAAGAGGTGCAGTGGGGCAAGGGCAGTAGATGTGGGGGTGTGTGTGTGTGTGCATGCGTGGTGGAGGGGATTCTTCCACGCTGCTGCGAAGAGCAGGGCCTCCGCTCTTCTCTGATTCCTGGATGCAGCTTTTGAACCCGGGGTCCAAGGAGCTGGGTGGCTCAGGCTTGTTTGGAGGAACACTGATGATATAAATGGGGAGCTTTCCAGTGTGGTGTGAGACTGGAGGAGTGCTCCCTTCCGGCTTGCCCTGGGAGTGGGCCTGCCTGGTTTGATCAGTCCCTGAGGTGCTCAAAGAGCTGTTTGCGCTCTGGGGATGACTCTCCGCCCCAAAACACTTGTGGCACCTGGTGCCAGGCAAAGGGTGAGGGCACTCTGGGGTCCCCACGCCATGTGAGGTGCCTGGTGCTGTTGGCAAGAGACTTTGCTTCTTTTTTAACTATGAGCTTTTTTGGAAGAGGACGGTGGGGAAGGGTCTTCTCAAGCATAGGCTTGTATCCTGCCCCTCCTTCTCAGGCACTGACACAGTGTCTCTTTCTGTCTCCAGGTTTGGTCCCTGTCGCCAAGCAGAGCTGGCCAGTGCTTGCACACGATACAGACAGAGGACCGGGTCTGGTCCATCGCCATTAGTCCATTGTTAAGGTAAATGAGTCTATTATTAACTACGTTAACACCCTATGTAGCTCCTCCCGGCTTCCCCATGTCTGCAAATCTGTCCAAGGTCCTGGTGTGATGTTCTAGGGACCTGATACAGGCAGGAGCAGGCAGGGAGGGAATCTGCAGACTGCAAGGGCCAGGGGTCTTCGGTCATGGCTCCCCTCAGCCATGTGGCTCTTCATAACTGAGTCTGTAAAACTGGGTCCTGGCTGCTCCATAGCAGCTCGGGCAGGGAGGCCAGCTCCTCTTCTGAGTGTGGCTTTGTTTTGGGCGCTGAGGCACTAGTGCTGTAGCCGCTCAACTGAGTGCTGTAGCATCTTCTGGTCAGGGGAGGGGGAATGATGCCCAACACCAAAGAACGTTTCAAAATGAACTGTCTGTGAACTGCCCCATTGTGTCTGTGCCGCCCTCGCCTCCTTCCCTCTTCCTAGGGAGCCTTCTTCGTTCTCCGTCTTCTTCAGGAGCAGCAAAACAGAGCTGCTGCCTGTGTCTGGATGGTGTTTTGTGACCTAAGTGATACCAAAGCACTTGGTATAGGATACAGCACCATGCTCACAAGAGTATGTTGCAGCCTGTTATTCATTGGCCTCTGTTCAGTGTTGGGATAAACTCATTGTGGTTATGCTTTTCCCTTTGGTGGATGTGCCGAGGGCTGAAATTCAGGCCAGCTCCATACCCAGGCTTTCCCTTGGACACCCACTTTTCCTAGATTTCCAAGCGCTGGGAAGTGCTGGGTGTGTTTGAGGAGACGATGGGGGCTGGGGTGCAGCTTTCTATCCCCGAGCTGTCACTGGTCACATGCACAATGCCATATGTGCGAGCAGGGAGCCTTTGCTGTCCCCTCCCTGGGCAGTCAGCGGGGCCCGTTGTGGGGGCTTCTGCCTGCAGTGGCCCTGCTGCCGTGGTGGAGCCACGTGCTGCTTCCTCCTCCTAAGTGATGACCTCTCGAGCTGGCCTCTGGTCAGGACAGGGCTGTCTCTCCCCAGTGCGCACACGCTTTGGTGCACACTCTCTGTCACAATATTTACCTAGCAGCCTTTTCCCCCCGCTGGGTGATGAATGGGAGCCGTGGTGCAGCTACCCTGGGCTGGCGGCCTCGCAGCGCGCTCAGTTTACAAGGCCGTGGCTCCCTCTGCCCCCACCCAGCTCCAGGACCCTCCATATCTCTTTTAAGAATTAGAGGCGATTAGCCACGTCATTAATTCTTCAATTTGACGGCTGATATAGCAGGCCCTGAAACACACTGCTGACCCCGTATAATGGAAACCTCGCTCCTTAACATATTGATGATGGGAGAAGTTAATTAAAATTCCACAGAGTGAAGGTGTCGGCTAACCTATAAACCTGTCGCTTCCAAGAACAAATCGCTGCCCTCGGAGAGGAGAGCACATCAGAGCAGGAGGGCAAGGGGGTGTGGATGGAGAACAAGGGCTGGGGCAAGGGGCAGGGAAATGAATTCTCCCTAATAAATATGTTGTTTGGTGTCTAACGAGGCTGCGGTCAGAAGTAACCTCCAAGCTGCAGCAGTGCCAGCTCTCGGGTCCTTGCTGGGCCCCTGCCCCCCCCTCCACCGTCTGCATGGGATGTTCCCTGTGCACTTGAGGGCCTGCCTGCATTGTCTCCCCGCAGCTGGAGAAGACCTGCAGGGTGAGGGATGTTTCCTGGGCAGTGCCCTTGCACAGTCTAGGTCCCTTGTGCCTTTCCTCTTATTCCAAAAGTTCTGCCTAATTCTCTCCTCGTGTATGGCTGTGATCTGGGAACCACTTCCTGGCTGTCCTGGCGTGAAGCTGATGGAGATCAGAAGCTGGCTTTCCAGTGCGGCGCCTGGCACTGAAGAACATGCAGGCCCTTCAGTGGTGCAGTGCGGCTCTCGAGCCGCGGATGGCCGCAGTGCCCAGAGCAGCCCCCAGCCCACCTGTGTGGGATGGCTAGGGTACAGGACCAGCTGGGATTCAGTGAGGCTGAAATGGTGGAGCCCCTGCCAGCAGGGAAAGTGCTTTGAGAGCTGGAACAACCAGGACTTTGGTTTCTCCTCGCTTTTCACCATGCAGCAGCCCCCTGTCCCCTGGCTTGAGACTGGGTGAGGAGCCATCTGGCAGCTGCTGTTCCCTGCAGCACCAGGGCTTTCCAGACCCAGCTCTGCATTTCAGTCCATGCTTTATCACTCAGCCTCAGCCACTCTTATAAATCCCCTCCCCTTGAGGCACCCCGCCTTTGAAAGAAGAATCAAGGTATGGACTAGGGATGGTTTGGCCTTACTCGTAGCAGGGGCATGGCCTCTACTTGGGATCTCTTGAGCATATATTAACAACCTTTGCAGTAGCAGGTTGTTGGCTACTGTGGTCCTCCAAGAGACCTAGGTGTGCTCTCCGTCACTGGAGGTGTTCAAGGAGAGGTTGGACAGCCCCTGGTCAGGGATGATCTAGCTGTATTGATGCCTGTGCTTTACTGTGGGGATTTACCAGACTTCTGAGCTGTGCTGGTTGTCCCCCACCCCTGTTTCTTCTCCATGTGTCAGGTGGGGTTTAAGCCTCCCCAGAGGCGCTGCTGCAGCCCAGGCTGGGGATGGGGACAAGGCTGTGCCAGTGCCCCTGCTGGCACCAACCCCGCAGGGTCTTGGCTGGAGGGTCTTGCCCCTGCGCTCAGACTCAGACCGACGCTGCACTGGGGCAGGAAGGGATTTCCCCCTGGCTCAGACTGGTTCAGACTGGGGGGGGTTTACCTTTCTCTGCAGTGGGGGCATGGCTTTGGCCTGGGCTCTCTGCAGCATCCATGACCCCCTCTGGCAGCACCAGGACATTGGCTGCGGCCCCCCTGTCTCCTGGGGGCAATGCCTGGGGCTGTCAGGGTTGACAGTAGTTTTACATAGTTTGGACTATGGTTTGTCTGGGCTGGTTTGCACAGGGCTGATCCTGCCCCAGGCAGGGGTTGGACTAGATGTGACCTCTGCAGGTCCCTGCCAGCCTCACTGCTCCAGGATGCGATGATTCAGGTGGTTCTGCCTAGTATGGGAACACTTGGTACCTAATTCTGCTGCCCCAGGTACCTGTCACTGCTCCGAGCACTGTGGACGCTCTGACAAGCAATGCGGGTATTTCACATCCTCCGCTAAGATATAACTTTGCCACCTGCACCTGTAGCTTCTCTGTGAGGCTTTGCAGCCTTTCCTCTGCCTCCTGCAGCTCCTCGTGCTTTCTGGCAGGTCCCAGGACCTGGACAGGGACAGCGAGCGTTCTCCGAGCCGGCACTGCTGAGATGGGAGGTTAGTTTTGGATTCGGAGACCAGCAGTATCCTCAAGCCAGGGAAGGGGCCTGGAAAGCAGTGCCGTTATGAGGAAGGAGAGTGGCTCTGGCACCAGCCACCTCTGCCTCCCGCAGCTCCTCTCTTGTTTTTCCTGTTGCCGACAGGTAAAAATGCCTCTGCTTATGCTGCACTTCTCCACGGATCCAGCCCCAGTGGGCAGCTGTCCAAAACCCTGTCCTCTCTCGTGGCAGGATGGCAGCCTGGAGAGGAGCATCAGCAAGAACAGGGGGAGCAGGCGGCAAACTCCCAAAGCCCAGTTGGCATCAGTCCTGCCCCCTGCTTTGCTAGCTGTTCAGCGGTGAGGGCTACTGCCCTTGGGCACGCTGGAGTTGGGAGGGGCCTACTTGTTGGGTACTGGGGACATTCAGCATTGGTGGTGCTGGGCCTAGGGCTTGAGGAGAGCTATGGTGTTTAGGATGGGTAATCTAGCGCCTTCTTAAATGCATGGAGCCGCTAGACTTTGTGCTGTTCTGCCAGGGCTTGTGCGGAGGGTATCAGAATCCGTCTCTTCCGCTGGGGAAACCCATGGGCTTTCCCATCCTTTCCAGGTGTGAGGTCTCCTCCTCATGCTGTTTAGGTCTTCATACGATGGGTCTCCATTGCTGAAGAAAATCAAGGAGAGGCTGGACAGCCAATGGTGGGGGATGATTTAGGCGCAGCGATGTCTGTTGTACTGGGGGATTTTCTGGGCTTTACTGGTTGCTCAACCCCCCCTTTTACGTGCATCAGGGGGTTTTGAAGCCTCCCCCAGACGCGCTGGGGATGGGGTTGGGCTGTGCCAGTGCTCCTGCTGGCACCAACCCCACAGGGTCCTGCCTGGAGGGTCTTGCCCCCGCGCTTGGGCTCAGCCTGATGCTGCACTGGGGCAGGAAGGGATTTCTCCTCTGCTCAGACTGGTCCAGACTGGGGGGTTTTGCTTTCCTGTCTAGCAGAAGGCACGGCCTCTGCCTGGGATCTCTCAAGTATATGAACTTTTAAAGAAGCAGGACATTGGCTGCTATGGTCCCCCTGCTTTCCCTGCGGCAGGTTCAGGTGTGATGTCTTGTGTTGTGTCTGGGTTGACTAGTTTTTTTACTGAGTTTGGACAGTGGGTTTTTCTGAGCTGGTTTGGACGGGGCTGATCTTGTCTCAGGCAGTGGCTGGACTAGATGTGACCTCTGGAGTCCCTTCCTGCCCCACTTCTTTAGGATTCTTCCCTCTCTCTGAAGGTTCAGGACCACTGTGGGTGGATCTAGGGTTTTGGAAAGTGAGGTGCAGGTGGTGCGATGCATCATTGCACAGAACACCTATTTAAAGAGAAACTAGAAGTCTTGCTAATATGCTAGGGGCCTAGCACTCTATTATTCAGTTTAAGATCAAATTGAAACCAGATATAACTATTGGGATGTGCACTCATTGCTAGATTATATTTTAAGTGTAACAGGGCTTGTGCTCGGGGAGCTTCCCAAGTCGGCACAAAATGGACCGACGCCAGCTTGCAAAGTGAGTGGAAATTGCTGGGATTTCCAGCAGAATGACTGCCTCTTCATGCTTCGTGCCTCCCAGCAGTGTGGGAAAGCAGGGAAGAGAAGCGACCGTTGTGCCCCGTTGGATTTGGGGCTGGGTTTATGGAGAGAGCGGGGTCTGTGCCTGGCGTTTGTGGCTTCAGAAGACAGGCGTTGCAGTGTGTGTCGTGGTGCCT